TGAATGGAATAGATTGGAATATCAATTTCATCATGAAACTAAAAAAGAATGATAGTCTACCTTTTCTAGTCGTCATAGTTAGCAAAAAAGAAAACAAAATGAGTAGAAATGTGTTTAGGGTACACACAAATTCTAGGTTCATTTAAAATTACTTATTAAGTCATTCTGATAGAATTAGAGTGGGAGTTATGAAATCCATGATTACAAAGAGTCGGTGCAGCCGACTTTTTAATCACTTCCACTCGCCTCTTTAAACCAAGTGAAACCTACTCCAACATCAATCTGTTAAGGGATTATTCGAAAAACAGCTTTTCTAAATATCTACACAGACATACACACTCAAGCAAGTCTACTTTGATCAATATGAAAGATAATTAGCTATATTCACTTTCGTTTTTTAGTAATGCGTATACATAAAGGGTAAGATAGAGCAGGATAGTGCTTTCACAAAAGTGAATTACAGCTCTGATGCTCTGTATCATGTGATCAAAGAAGCTCAGTCCGTTTTCACCCGAAACGAGGGCAGATATCTCATTGACTACGTCAACCTGAACATCGTTCTACAGCCAAACGGCTGTGGTAGAACAGAGTAGCTGTCGACAGCGGAAATCGACCTTTGACTCTCTTCTTCATGCACTTTCATATGAAATGAACGCCTTCCCAACAATTGTCGGGTTAGATAAGTTATAAGTTGTGAAGGAGAGAGAGTGATATATGAGGATAGGGTTGGTTTGTAGATGTATCAGGACGAGAGCAATAATACAAACTTTTAGGTGAAATTAGTCAAGAGAAAGATTTCGCTTGCCTCTGGCGAGTTGTAGCTTTGTGCTAATCTATATGGAGTTAAACGAAATATTGTGTATCTCATCAGTTTTTGCCTATTCATTTATGAGCATTTCTCGAGATATGAAACGAGACCTGCATTTTGACATATTTCCAAATGAGGTATACTGTTTTTTTTCGAACTCCAGCACATCTTTTTTTGTCCTATTGTTTAAACACCTAGACAATAGTCCTAAAGCATGACTATGTCTACTCATAAACACCATAATGTCAATATCGCCTCTCACAAGTAAATGCTGAGGTCCCCTCTGATAGTATTTTGTAAAAATCTTTTGAA